TTCGCGGGACGGAGGGAGTATTTAAATAAAAACTTTAAATTTGAATACAAATAAAAAATAATAATATAAAATTTTATATTATACATATATTTATAAATATTATTATACATATAAATAAACATATATATGTTATCGCTGAAATTCGTCGATGATGGCCCAATTGATTAAGACAGTCAAGATCGACATAAATTGGATTTTTCGGTCTGCTCAAGAAATGATCTGTGCTATCTCGCAGCCGGATATTGAATCGCAACACCTCCGATTAAAAATATTCGTAGAATTATGGTCCGGCGATGGACCGAATACAGTGCGAGTTGAATTGAAAAATATTGCAATATATGAAGCAAAGTAGGCGAAAAACAAATTAAATGAAAAGCAGGAGGCCAGATTGAAAAATAAGAATGAAAATTGCGTGGATGTGAACGTCTCAAAAATAGAACATGAATTTAATCTAATAAACATGAATAAAATGAAAGCAAAAAAAATAAAATAAAATAAAATTATTTGGTCGTTGGAAGGCTGAGTAGTCTTCTCTTCCTCTCATCCTAGGTAATATATATTAATATATAAATTAGGATAATCTCTACTTCATCCACTCCTCAGTTATTTCTTTGTCCATAATTCCATCATTCTTCAATTTCAACTTTTCACTTATTCAGGAAACTTTCACTAATTTCTTTAATATATTCATCATTCACATTAAATGTGTCCTTATTCTTACACAAATTTCCGTTGAATTGAAGTTGTTTAAGTTGGTCCATCTACTCCTCTTAGTACAGGCACTAATCACCTCCGAATGCTTGAAAATATTTTAAAGTAACAATATATATTTATAAAAAAAAATAAAATTGGGCCCCTAAAGGAGCCAAAGAATTTGGCTCCTGGGTGTGGGTTTGGATAGCCCATGTCCAAGGCCGATCTGGATCAAAAGTCCGAATAACACATTATTTATATTAAAAAAATATATGAACAAATAACACATTAAATATTCATATAGATCGTAAGACATTATGCTGATTTGTAAATAACATTAATTTAAAAGTCAAGAAAATATTAATAAATAATATTACCTCCGTCTGCTGATAAGAGTTTTATTTACTTTTTGCGTATTGATATTTGAATATTAATTATTATATCAAAATATATTATAAATTAAGAAAAAATTTCAAAAATATTTTCATTAGTGTCTTATAATATTAATAAAATAATATTTATACAAATATAAAGATATTTTTAATATTAAGTACAATTACAAAAAAAAAAAATAAATATGCCCTTAGAAAGAGTACAAAAAGTATCAATCAAATATTTAAAAATTATACATTTTAAATATAAAATACTCTTATTTTATGTAACATGTGCTATATGATAAATATTTTCTAATGTAGTGGCTCTGTTTACATAACACGTTTTAACTAATTTGATATTATTTATTTTTAAAAAAATATCAAATCAAATATATTTTTTTTACAAAACATTACATAAAATATTAAATTTTTATTTTTTTTCAAATTTTCAAAATTTCAAAAATTTTAAAAAACTTTTATTTAAACAAAGCCTTATTTTGAAACTGTTTGGAAAATTAGCAAGTAATACGTGTATATTTCTTTTGATAAATTTTTTCAAATTTTATTATTTAAATTCTGTATTTTTAAAAAAAATACTTATTTTTTTTTATAAAATATCTTATTAAATATTATTTTAATATCAAATTAAAAAAAAAAAAAAAAAACACATTGCATTAAGAAGCTATAACACCAATATTCCTTCATTATATATATATAAAAATATTTATTTATTCAACTTCATTCTTACTAGGACTCAGCTTCCCCACTCCCGGGAGCTCAGCTCCTGAAGTGATCCACACCTTTGATACAAGGCGGGACCCCATCGTGAATGGTGTGGATTGTTCTATCAATACAATGCAACCTCGATTCTAGAGAGAGAGAGAGAGAGAGAGTGAGAGGCAATAAATAACACACGTACATGCGGGGACAAAAATCTACCAGTGAAATCTGAGAGGATGCAGTCTTGACTGGTGAGTTTTGCCTGCTTCTCTCTCTATATTATATATATTATATCTATCTCTCTCTCACTCTATCTATCTCTCTCTCTCGATATATATAAATATTATATCTCTCTCACTCTACATTGCCAATCTCTACATTGCATTGGCAATGGCAGCCAGGAACACAAATTTGACTCCTTTTTTTTTTTTTTAATACGTGGAAATTCGCAGCTATTATCCGAAAGTGCACGCTAGATAAACTTCTGGTCGAATTTAATACTCTATAAATCAGGCCCAATGAAAAATTCACACTAGATGAACCATTTGTGGCAAGTGAAAGTTTGAACTCGTAACGTCAGCAGCAGTCAGCAGAAGTCATCTCCTTGTCAATACAATTTTTAACCTTTTATTTATTCTATTTTTATCTTCAATATTTATGCTGTTATTTTTTAAATTTTTACTACTTTTTTTCTTTTCATAATTACTATATATACGAAAATTTAAAATAAGTATAAATAGGATGTGTTTATTTAAAGATTTTTTCTCTAAACACACTATTTATCTAATTTTTTTAAAAATATTAAATCAAATATTTATTTTTTTATTTTTTATATTATATTAAAAATTAATTTTACATTCAAAACATTACATCAATACCTATTTATATCACATCATACAACTATTTAAATTCAAATTTTTTACTATTCAAATCTTAACTCAAAATCCAAAACCCCAATAATTATAGATTAAAATTTATATAATTAGTTAGCCTAATTAAAATTTAAAATGAGATTAAAATGTATAATTATTTTTTAAAAAAGTAATATGAGATGTAAAACGAACACAAATAACAATATGAATATAGTAGGTGGGACGGAGTGAGTACTATTTATAAATATTTTTTTTAAGAAAATATTACTGTTAAATATATTTATTTTTAATAAAATATAATATCAAATACTCCCCCGTCCGCCAAATTTGATTTTACTTTTTTTTTGTAGTCCGTCCACTAAATTTATCTTATTACTAATTTTGACAAAGCTAACAAATCAACATTTAATCATTACTTCTATTCAACACTCTTTCTCTCCATTTACTTTACCTTTTAACTAAAATTTCAAAAATAGTATCAACTACTTATCACTTTTTCAATAAAATATTTATTTAATTTTTTTTTTAATTTTTGTGCTGAACCTAAATGAACTAATTTTAATGGACGAAGGAGAATTAATTATTTAATATTTTCAAGATTTCAATTTAAACGAGCCTTAATCCCCTTCCCTTTATATCCAATTAATATATACTCACTTATCTTAATTGATATATATTTTTTTTTTTTTTTATGTTCGTCTGTCATAATTGATATATTTATATTTTTGATAAAATTTATTAAATCAAAATGTATTTAACAAATATAAATTAATTTAACTAATTACGTAATATGCAATATTATACATCAATCATGTAGTATAAAATACTACTCCCTCCGTCCCATTCCAAATGAGCCATTTGGATTTTGTAGTAGATAAATTTTAATTTTAATTAAACTAATTAGTTATCTTAATCTTAATAAAAAATTATTTTTATTATACGATATTATATTCACTAATACATTCTTAATTATTTACTTAGGGTGTGTTTGTTTGAGGGTTTGGATTTTGAGTTGGAATTTGAATAGTAAAAATTTTGAATTTGAATAGTTGTATGATGTGATATAAATAGGGTTTGATGTGATGTTTTAAATGTAAAATTGATTTTTAGTATAATATAAAAAATAAAGAATAGGTGTTTGATTTGATGTTTTTGGGGGGAAAAAATTGGATGAATAGTGGAAATCCACCAAAATCCTTCAAACAAACACACCCTAAGTATACTCTCTCAAATTTCGGTATCTATAGTAAAAGGAACACCGTAGCCGGGACGGAGAGAGTAATATTTTATTGATTAGTCAAAGTATATAAGAGATTTTAACATTTATATTTATGATATGTTTATAATTTAAGTAAATGTTAAGATATAATTATTTTTATTAAAATAAAAAATAATATTTTAAAGTGAAACAAATAAAAATGATAAAAAAAAATATTTAAAGTATTTAAATAAGTAAAAATAATAAAAAAAATTTAATAATTAAAGGAAGGTAATGCATTTATTAATTTAGGTGGGACTATAAATATAAATGTGCTATTTAAGCCATTCTCAAATGATAAATAAGATACTCCATAAATATGGATGAAAAAAAATATAAAAAAAATATATATCAAAATATTTTATTTTTTATTTTCGTTCATTTTAAAATAAGATATTATTTTTAAATTTAATAATTGTACTACTTACCTAACATAATAAATATCCTTCTAATTTCAAATATATTACATAAATGTTTTATATTACACAATACTAATAAGAATATTTTCGTATTTTTTACTAAAATTTAATATAATATTAATATTAAAATATCTATGTAAAAAAAATAAACATTACTCTTTGGAAGGAAGCATATAATTCATTGAATGTATATCTATATCCCACTGTTTTCCACACCTTTGCTTTTGTAGTACTCCCTCTGTTTTACATATCGTGTATGCTACATTGTAGATACGATATTTCAGGAAGAGTGTAATTAGTAGATAATTAATAATGTATTAGTGAAAATAATTATCTGATAATATAAATAATTATAAATTAAGATTAAAATAACCAATTAGTTTAATTATAATTTAAAAAAATAAAATTTAAAAATTTAAAATGAGATTAAAGTGTCCAATCATTTTTCAAAAAAAGAAAGTGAGACGGATAGAAACGGCAACGTGAACATGATATGTGCGACGGAGGAAATAGTATTTTATATTTTTATCGTCCGTTATTATATGATAATTATATACATTTATTAGTTTAGTAGGAGGAACTATATATATATATATATATTTATTAGTTTAGTTATAGGGTAAGTTAGAGAAGAGTGGTACAGGCAGGCAGGTAGGCAGAGGGGTGAGGGCAGAGGCAGTCTCTCCACCATAATTTTTTACAAAGCACAAGAATGCCCTCCAGGCTCCAATACCATTTTCTCTATATATATAATTTCTCTCTCTCTCTCTCTCTTCCTCGAGCCCCCTCCCTCTCTCCATTTCTTGCCTTGCCCCATTTCCACCCCGAATTCTGATTCCTTCTTCTTCAACTAGCCTGGTGTTTTTAATTCTTGGTTGATTTTTGTTTGTTTGTCAGTTCCACCCATTGTTCTGGTTGTTGTCTCTCTGTGGGTGATTTGCATTTGCATTTGGCCAAAAGGGTCAAATTATATAACCACCATTGTTCCCTCTCTTCCTTTTGCAGAAGCAGAGAGAGAGAGAGAGAGAGAGAGAGAGAGAGAGAGAGAGAATAGAGAGAGAGATCAGTGTAAAAAGAGAACAACAAAGCATTCTTAACACAGTGCTCAGGTTCATTTCCTCATTCTGTAAAAAAAACATCTCCTTTCATCAGACTCTTCTCTTTCAGTCTCTCTTCACTCTCCCTTGTGTGTTTGAATAGTCTGTTCTTGCCTTTTATGTGGATGCAAAGCTTTGATTCTTAGTATCTGAAAGTGGGATTGAGGTGAAAGGGAGAGAAATGGGGTTGGGTTGGTTGTGTTGCATAAAGCAAAATTTGTCTCCTCGGACAAAATCCCTCTTTTTAATTTTTTACAATTAAGCATGGCATGGGCTGGCCTTATTCAAAAAGCTTAAAGAAACTTCACTCTCATCCTCAGGTGCCAAAATCCAAATCCCCCCACTAAAAGCCAAGAAAAAAAATTGCATCTTTATCTTGACCATCCTTTAATTTCTCCCTCTTCCCCACAAAAACTCCTCCCTCATTTGGAGCCCAACACAGAATCAAAAACAAGTAAAGAAAAAATGGGGTGTGTGGCCTCAAGATTAGAAGAGGAAGAAGAAGTTGTGTCTATATGTAGAGAGAGAAAGCATCAGCTGAAGATGGCTGTGGAGAGAAGGTATGCTTTGGCTGATGCCCATTACAGATACTGTCAGTCTTTGTTTGGAGTTTCAGCAGCTATAAACCTCTTTGTTGCTAGACATTCCAAGCCCCACTCTCCATTCTACATCACATTTCCTCCCTCTTCTTCACCACCACGCTCTACCCCTAAAGAAACTGTGGTTTCAAATCCTTTGTTTCTGCAGCAGGCTCCTTCTGAGCCCACCAAACAGGCCATCCCTTGTGAGTCCTGCACTTCTTCCACAAGTTCAGATTCCTCTGAAGAAGAAGAAGAAGAAGAAGAAGAAGAAGAAGAAGAGTGTGTGGAGAAGACGAATGGGAAAGAGGAGCCACTTTGTGGGTACTTCTACATGGACATGCCTCAGGGAGCAGTGTCACAACAGATGGATTTTGGTTGGGATTTTTTCAACCCTTTTGAGAGTGTGCCTAGGCCTGATATTCTCAGTGTTTACAACAGGATTTCTGAGGAGGATTTGAGGGCTGTTAGGGATGAAGAAGGGATTCCAGACCTTGAAGATGAAAATGAGGTTGAAGAAGAAGAAGAAAGGGCAGTGAAATTGCAGGAGGGGAAAAAGAACACATCTTCTACTGTTGTGGCAGAAGAAACAGTCAGTAATAATGTAGAGCAAGAAAATGCTGCATCACAGGCTTTGAATACAGTGCAGAATAGTGGGGAGGAGAAAATAATAACCAAGGGACTTAGTGTGATTGACACACCAGTTAGGGGGAGGGAATTGCTGGAGGCTTTGAAGGACATTGAAGACCATTTTATCAGAGCTTATGATTCCGGGAAAGAGGTTTCCAGGATGCTTGAGTGCAACAGGGTTCACTTGCAGTCTAATCTTGAGGAAATTAAAGGTGATTTCTTTTCTTTTCAAGAACAGATGTGTAACTTCTATTTTTACTATTAAACTGCTGTAATAAAGATTAGAAGGGACTTTTCTTGGATTATTTTTTTGGTGGGCATTGCATTTTATTTCTAGGTTCCCAAGGTATTGTTATTTATTTGTTGGTGTTATTATTTCTGCCTTTTGATTTGTGTCAAGTCTCGATTTGGACAGATGGTTTTAGAGATTTGAAAAATTTGGAGTATTAAAAAGTTATGTTTTACGAGATGTGTTGTGAGAAAGAAGTTACTGTTGATAAATAATTACAAAAATTTCAAAAAGTTTTTGCGTAAACAGAGCTAAGCTTTGAAGCTTTTACTTTGCATAATTCTGAGTTTTGTTCTCATGGAATTGCATATGTTAGTATTTTTTTTTCTTTTTTCACACTGATTTCTGGTGCAGAAAGCTCAACAAAGTTGATCCAAGCTATTGTGAGGCGGTCTGCCCCTTCCCGGTCATCTTCATGCAAGAGTTTAGTGGCATCAGGTTCGAAAAGCTCCTCGACAGCATGGACAGAGTTTAGCAACGAACTGTTCGATGATTATGGGGGGATGAATTCAGGAAGCCACTCCTTGACTCTTGGTAGACTGTATGCATGGGAAAAGAAGCTCTACGAAGAAGTGAAGGTGTGGGAGGAAGATACATTGTTTATAAATTATTAAATGTTGATTTTATATAAGAATATGTGCTATTCTTTCTATAGGAAGGAGATAGCATTCGAAGAATTTATGAAAGGAAATGCACTCAGCTTAGAAATCATGATGTTCGAGGCGATGAAGGGGTCACAGCGGATAAAACGAGGGCAGCTGTCAAAGATTTGTATAGCAGGATTCTAGTGGCGATCCGCAGTGCTGAAACCATTTCAAACAACATTGACAAGCTGAGAGACGAAGAACTTGAGCCTCAGATAAGAGAATTACTTCAAGGGTAAATATTAGCTCACCTAAAATGCAACAGAAGAGAAAGAATATGTCGATGTTGCACTTGACTCTCTTTCTGTTCAATGCAGCATGACAAGAACTTGGAAGGTTATGCTGGAGTCGCACGAAATTCAGAACAAGATTATATTTGAAGTGAAAACATTTACTTGCCCATCTTATGGGAAATTCTGCAATGAGTCTCACAGGCTCGCTACACTACAGTTAGAAACCGAGCTTTTGAACTGGCGCTCGTGTTTCGTAGAATATGTTGCAGCACAGAGGGGATTCATTGAAGCCCTTTCTGGTTGGCTGTTGAAGTTTGTTGCTCCTGAAGTGGAATATTATTCCAGGAGTAGAACTTCTCAGCCACCATGTCGACCAAATGGTCCTGTGCTGTTGACATTATGTCGGGACTGGTTGGATTCCATGAATAAATTACCAGATAAGGCGGTTGCATATGCTATAAAAAGCTGTGCAAAGGATGTTAGATCCTTGTGGTTTCAGCAAGGAGAGGAACAACAGCAGAAGAAGAAAGTTGATAATCTGTCGAAAGAATTAGATAAGAAAACGGTCTCATTCCACAAGGCCGAGAGGAGGGTTGAGTTTAGGCTGACCGACAAAAACACAGAGGTGGAGATGGAGCATCAGGCTGAATCAATGATTGATTGTAAGGATATGTTGGACAGTTTCAGAACAAGGGTTATGTTGGAGAAGGAAAAGCATCATAACTGCATGGAAGAAACACACAGAATCACTTTGAATGGTTTCCAGACAGGATTTTGTGGAGTGTTCGAGTCCATGACAGAGTTCTCCAGGGCAGCTCTAAGAATGTATAATGATCTCAGCAGTATTCAGAATGCTGAGAGTTTGGAAAATGTTGTGTATAGTGAGGGTACAAAGGCTCAAGACAATGGAAGCAGGTGAGACAGACAACATTACTTTGGGGAATGTTCTTTTTTTCATGTTGTAGGTTTTTTAAATTTTAGATGATGTTGTATTGGATTGTGTCGAAGCAGCTCGCTGAGACAATGCTTTGTCTATGAATTTTTTTAGTTGCTAGCAGATATAAACTTCTCAGGACAATTGCTAACTACAACAACCATGTCAGCTTCGGAAACATGATTATCATGACAACCTTAAGCTTAAAGAATGAAAAACAAACTAACAAATAATGATCAAATGCTTTACACCACCATGTATACTCAACAACTGGATTTTGAGGATAGAGTTTTTGAAAAGAGTGTTTTTCATTGCATGGGGTCTAAAACATATTGCCTTTGTACAAATGATATGTAAATTGCATATACTAGAATAGATAAGCGTGTTTAAGGTGGATCAAAGACGATCTCCTAGACTTGGATAATAATCTAATTCTATCTCAAGTACAAGGAAGTTAAGAACTGTGAGAAGAGTATAAATTCACTCACTACGGTGGCTGGCGTGTGTATTCCCATTAACGGGACAATGTCGACCTGCAACCAGCTCTCGACCGCTGAACCCACCACAGCACCAGCCATGAGCCCTCCGATTGATATGACTGTTGCCTTCCCTGCAGAAGTAAAGCTCATTTGTTTTGAATCAGCCATGGCAACCATGATGATAATAATAATAAGAATCATATTCTCCTGTGGTTTCAAACATTTCAAGAAAGTGCAGTAAGAAAAATTCTGGGGATCATGAATCAAGCAATGAAAATGACATATTTAGCAAGAGTAACTCGAATATTGCAGTTGTAATGTTTGCATGCATGCTCTTTATGCACCAAATAAATAATACGCCGGGATCATATTTGTCCTCGAATAAGTAAGAAGAAACATATTTTGAGGCATGCAAAATTATAATTACGGAAATGCAGTTTTTTATAAGGTGGCTTGCTTCTAATATCCTAAGGGTATCGGAATCAAGCTACTAGCTATGGCTTCAAACATGGTAATATTGATGTGCATTCAGACCATCAAGTTTCATATGTGCTGCTCAAAACTCAAATGAAAAGAGGTTGAAACTTTTACCTAACTTGACATTTTTTTTTGTCATGAAGTATAAGGATGCCCCGAAGCTGGTGGCTAAAATAAGGCCAGGAACATCTGCACCAGCATATGGTGCTGCCGAAGGTGTTGAAGCTCCATTTACATATGTTAAGGCCATTAGAGCTCCATACACACCAGCTTGTACACCCAACTCACTAGTTGTGGGCGCTTCCGTTGAGACAGGTGGGTTTTTGACAGAATTCTCCAACCACTTGGGCATTGACCACATTTTCGGAGCATTAACAGGTTTAACATCAGCATATCGGATGTTGCTATTTACAACTTTCCCTGCTCTCCTTTGTGATAAGCTCTGCATTAGAAGCATATCGTATGCAGCCTCCGCCTGTACATCAGAAGCAGTATTTAATGCAAGCAAGAAGCCAATAACCGAAAAGCCAGAAGGAACAACTAATCAATTTATTGGCACCCTTTGTAGGTTATAGCACTCACACTTCCAAAAATTGTAGCCAATGCATCATTAACCATTTTTCCACAAAGAACAAAGTAGACAATACATCAGTGTTTCTAAGTAGACAATAAGAACAAAGTGCAATCTTCATACCCATAGAACCTACAATTAATTCATAAGCTCAGAGTTTGGGCAGTGTTTCTAAAGAGATTATTGGTAAAAGACTGTCGATAACAATAAATTTCTCATGCAAGGTATTTCTCTGTCTACCTATTGTCAGGATGATGAAATGTTGATGCAGAAAAGAGCGAAAAGATGCTTTGCCCTGATTCACCAAATTCACTGTTAGCTCCACCAAGGATTTGCCAACAGCAATCGCCAAGGAAGCAATTCATGAATAAGGTAAGATTTTAAAACAGAATCATTATACCTACTGCTTACGTTTCCAGAAGCCAATGCCTACAAACATACTGCTCTTAATTCAGGCTGCATATCAACGATCTTAATCCATGACATTCAGTATCAATTACCTAAGAGGACTCTCAAATTTACATCAATAATTCATCAGGCTTCAGAAAACCTACTAAATCGCTAACAAAAAAACGACAATCCGCCAATTCCTCACTTCTAGAACGCCAAAAAGTCATAATTTCAGCAGATTACCCAAAGAAGGCAGAACAAAGCACCTGAGTAATTGCTTGTTCGTCATCTTTACAATTGGCAATAATCGAATTCTTCGCTCGTAGAATATCGTCGAAAGACGCACCCTCGGACACGCCGAGTACTTTGAGAGCATTCTCCACGGACATCTCCGACGGCACAGAGTCGTCGGCTCGGGAGCCGGCGCGCAGCGGCGCGACAATTACACGGCGAGTGCACAGCACGCTCCATGAACCTTGCCGCCCCGATGCAGCAGCCGCCTTAACTATCGATTCCTGGACCGGACGCCGGACGGATGCTGGACCGAACCGGGTCGAGTAGACGACGGTACGGCTGGGCCGAACGGAAAGCGGCGTAGCCATACGAATTGAGTGTCTGAGCAAAAACTGCAGCTTCAGAGAGGCAGAAGGCAATAAAGGAAAGAAATGGCGATGATGACGTGTCCCTTTTTGGAATTTCGTCGAATCTTTGGTGTGGAAAATAGAATTTCGACGTGGAAGAAGTAATAATTGGCACTCAAATTAGGGTTTTCGTTACGCTTAGCTTTCTTCTGGAATCAGCAATTTCTGAGAGGAAAAATATCGCATAAAAAAACACCATAGTTATGATTTTTTTCCTGCAATTTTTTGTGGCTGTGGGGAGACGACTGTTTTGTTTTCGTCATAAGAACACGTAACCTTAAAAAAATCGCAAGTGGTCAGAGACGGGCAGAGATGGTCCGTAAAAGATCAAACGGGCGACGACAGCCGTTGAATTTCAAGCTCGATTTAGGAAGATGTCATCATTTGCTGGAGGGACAGCTCTGGCCTGTTGGCGGGCCCGGCCCGTTTTTCCGACGGCGTCGCTGACGCAACGGGAGAGCAGGAAGAAAGTAGTTGTTGTGGGTTCGGGCTGGGCCGGGCTTGGGGCTGCTCATCATCTCTGTAAACAGGTACTGTAAATTGATGGGAATTTTGATTCTTGTTTGTTGGACAATTGCCTGATTATTGGGTTTGAATTTAGGGATTTGATGTTACTGTTCTTGAAGGTGGATATGAACTTGGCCCTAAAACGAATGTACCTATTCGTGGTAATTTAATGTGCATTGTGGATGATGATCCAGTTGGGTTTTCTTACATGTGTTTTAAGGTTTGAACATAATTTGTTTGCTGAATCTGTTTCTTTGATGATGTTGTTAGGTTTCTGGTATCCTTACAGAAATATATTTAACCTAATTGATGAGCTTGGTGTTGAACCCTTCACAAATTGGGCGAAATCTGCTCAGTATTCGGACAAGGGTCTAGAGGTTCGAATGATTGCACTCTTTCATTTATGTTCCTATTTATAAATACGTAATGTTGTCAAACAATTACTTTTTATTTTTTATTTTTTTATTATACTGCAAATTTATTTTCCATTCAAAATATTACTTCTAACATTGTCAATATTGCCAGTATGATTGAAAAAAGAATTTCAATTTCTTATTCTTAACATTTATGGGTTATTTTCAGGTTGAGTATCCGATATTCGGAGAATTGCCACAGCTTCCGACGCCATTCGGAACATTATTGAACACCAAAGCATGTCTTTCTTGGACAGCAGCTCATTTTAATACAACCTTATTATCGGACAAACGGTATTGAAATCCATTGTTTCCCTTGTAGTTTGCTCGACTCCCCTCCATCGATCGGCTTACATCGCTTCCACTAATGGCCGCGCGTACGTCAGTACAAATTCTTTGTCTGAATTGCTAAACATACTTAGAGCCAAATGAGTTCCTAACTAATTTTTCCTGCAGTGATTGATTTCGACAATACTGATGATGCGTGGCGAAAATACGACTCGAGTAAGAAAAACACATGAACTTTTGCACTGTTTTAAGGTTTTTAGCGAATGTATATGTTTATGTAATGTTTTCGAAATGTTTAGTCACTGCAAGAGAGATTTGCAAACAGTTTGGATGCTCGGATCAGCTCTTCCAGGATATTTTCGACCCGTTGCTTCAAGTCGGATTATTTGCTCCATCAGAGCAGTGTAGTGCTGCTGCAGCTCTCGGAATGTTATATTATTACGTCCTGGCGAATCAGGTTCGGTATATTTAAGATTATAAGATGTCGTCGCCTCCTTAGCAGCCGTAACACCTTCTTTATTACCTTTATGATTATGTTTTCAGTTTTTACTATAACAAATAATTACCTTTCTCATTATCTTTTAGAAGAGATATAGTTATTTAGTATTTATTGCCTTTATTGCATTTTCGAATAAATTTAAAGTTTTGAAATAGTAAATTATGTATGTTTCAGTATATAAAATTTATATAGATTAATATTTAAAAATCAAAATAAAATATTATATAAAAATATTATTAGACAATAAAAATATATAGAAATATGTATAAATAAATAAATAATATATATTCTGTATAACATTTTATAGAAATAAATAAATTAGTGTGGGTCTATAAAAGTGATAAAAAAATGTAATTTTTAAGTGTTGAAATGAATATGACCTAGATGAAAGAGATAATGAATTAGAGACAATGTCTGTAACGGATGTTCTAATAGCTCAATTATTTTTGTATTGGACCCCGGCACAGAAAAATTTCGATTTTGTGCTGTGTCGTGGGCTCGTTAGAGAGAAAATTTTCCAGCCGTGGATAGAGACGATGAGAAGCCGAGGCTGCAGATTCTTGGAAGGTCGAAAAGTGACGGAGTTAGTACTTGACGACGAAACGGGGTGCGTTTCTGAAGTAATATGTGGGAAAGAGAGTTTTAAGACAGATGCCGTGGTTTTGGCTGTCGGAATCTCAACCCTGCAAGAAATTGTCCAGGGCAGGTATGTATTACACCTCTTTGGATACATGCGAACGCCGTGAATTTTACGATCCTTTGGTTGTAAGAAGTTGTTGTGGCTTTTTAGTGCAGTATTGTCTGCTAGGGAAGAGTTTTTGAAGGCGATGAAATTGCACACCGTAGATTTGGTTACGGTCAAGCTCTGGCTCGATAGGAAGGTATGCCAATGCCCCTTTCGAAAGTTTTGAAGTTTTAGAAAATTTTGGGAATAGGAAAAAATTGGATATTTGATGTACTCCCTTCGTCCCTTACATATGTATTCGATTGTTTTTTGCACGTAGATTTTTTAATATTAGTATAATAGTGATATGTAATACAAATTGAAAGAAAATGCTAAAAATAATCTTATTATTATTGTATGATATAAAATAATGACATTTTACGTAATATATTGTAAGAGGTATTTCTAATGTTAGATAGTACCGTTACTAAAAAAATATATATATACTTTGTTATGAGATAGACCAAAATGGAAAAAATTGATAGGACGAGGGAGTAATTTATATGTTTTTGATAAAGTAACTGTTGATGAATAATGCGAAAAGTCCCAAAAGTGTATATAAAAAGAGTCTTATTTTGTGTCAATTAGACCTATTAAATAAGTCGAGCGAGCTTGAGTATCTATTGTTCAAGCTCGACTCAAACATGATATCGGTACATGTTTGACTCGACAACGCAAGTTTGAGTTTGAGTTTGATTGGAATTTTACGCATGATATTATAAATTAAATATATCTAATATTATTCACAAATTATTAGAATAAAACATTCAAAATTTCATAAATAAATATAAACTTGGATATAATAAAAAAATAAATTATATTAATATATAAAATAATTTAATTATATTATCAGTAACGGGCTCAATCGAGCTATCCGCAAACTATCCGGTTCTTTTAAAAGCTCTAGCGGCAATGAAATTTTCTAACGTGGCAACACTTTTTTTGTGTGACGAATGGGTAGGTTAGCATTCCGTATGCAAGCAATGTTGCTTCTGGACTCGACGGTGCGTACGGATGGACCTTTCACGATTTGAACAGGATATACGACGAACATAAAGACAGCGCATCGACGATCATTCAGGCCGATTTGGTAAGAATACAACTTCTCGTAATGTACTTGTTTCCAGGACACTTAACGAATACCGTTGGATGATCAAGTGCAGTATAATGTCAACGACTTGTTGCCTCTCAAGGACGAGATACTTGTCGAAAAAGTGATGTCTTGGCTTTCAAAATGCGCGAAGAACATCGGAGGTGCTTCCGTCGTTGATAGAGAAATCGGAAGGTTCCCAAAATACCTCCCTCGTTTCGCCCCGGGTAAAGTTTTTATACAATTATACTTACCTCTGATCATCTTAATCACTCGAAGTAAACATAACTGTAGGCACTTTCGAATGACTTGTGTCTACGTTTAGGTCATAGTTGTCAATAGTTTGGTAATCAGGGGCGAGTGCCACAAGTGATTTTATTATAACAAAAGAATTTTTATTTTTATTTTTATAATTTAATAATTGTGGCACCACTAAAAAAAATTTGAGTGTCTCAATTTAAAATTTGAATATCATTACTATCTAGTGGACTATTTAAATTTTAGAATATTATCGGCACCCAAATAATTAAAATTCATTCTAATAAAAATGATTAATTTATATTTTGAATATATATAATAGTATTATAATATCATATTTTTATATCATTAATAATAATTTATTTTTATTAATATTATTATTTTAATATATATAATTTTTTAATTTATTTATTGTGCCACCGTTAAAAAAAAATTCTAAATCTGCCTCGGTTAGTAACAGTGGTGTCGTGGAGGGGTAGAGACTCTTATGGGGTGTGTTTGTTTAGGGGTTTGGATTTTGAGTTGGGATTTGAATAGTAAAAATTTTGAATTTGAATAGTTGTATGATGGGATATAAATAGGTGTTGATGTGATGTTTTGAATGTAAAATTGATTTTTAGTATAATATAAAAAATAAAAAATAGGTGTTTAATTTGATTTTTTGGAGGAAAAAAATTAGATGAATAGTGTAAATCCAATCCTCCAAACAAACACACCCTATGTTTATTTTTACATATAAGGCTATGTATAGGAAAAAATACATGAAAATGGAAAATATCTAAACAATAGATGCAATGATGAGAGTGAAAATGAGAGAGAAAATTATGTGTTAGTGTAACTTCAATTATTTATTTATCAAAAGTAAAACTGTTCTAATTGTTTTTGCTTATATAACTCTTTATGAACTATTATTATGCTTTCTTTGTTCTGTCACAATATATATATATTTAGTTTTTGCACAAAGATTAAGAAATATTATTTTTTCCGTCATCTAAAAATTTGATCAAATTTTTGGACATGGGTTTTAATAGAAGTGTGTACTTTTGGTTATTTTTTTAATGTACAAAAAACGATAATATTTTTAAGTAACAGATAAAAAAAAAAGAAAAAAGTGAACACAAATTTAGCTGACAGATTAGTATTATTTAGAGAGTAGTTGACTATTTTTTTCTAAATGAACTTTTTGCCCTTTATGTTTTAATTTAATGTAATAGTATTGATGTAAATAAGTGTAAGTTTGGGGATCTTTATAATACCGAAGTGTGTCAAATTTACTAAAAAGAGAAATATATATCTTATTGTGAGATATACAAAAATGACAAAAGGTATCTGTTTTAACCGGACGGATGAAGTATACATATTTCGATATTTTATTGGTATTAATGATAGTTATGAGATTAATTTATAAACTTTTCATACATTTTTTTTCATTTAAATTTTAAATAATGGTCATCATGCTATATCATTGTAGCGGTTGACCGTCATTTAATGTTATTCGAAATCGACAACTATGGTTTAGGGACGTACAAGTACGCGATGCAAGGAAAGACGTCGTTCTCAAATTTGTTCATGGCCGGCGATTGGATAGTGAACCGGCACGGTTCGTGGGCTGAGGTAAGAAAAGAACTGCCGGGCCGCGCCGATTGTTGAAAATTGGTTACTGATAATAATGAATGTTCTTGCAACAGGAGAAAGCTTATGTTTCTGGGGTTGAGGCTGCAAACAGAGTGGTGGACTGTTTGCAAGAAGGAGGTCTTGCAAGAATAGTTGCTGTTGAAGATGATGAAATGCACATTCAGACATTAAGGGACTTCAACAGAAATCTGCAGGAGATTATTTCACAGTTTCCCTTGTCAAACTATTTCCTTCATTAATTCATCTTGTAAAAATATACTCCCTCCATTCCAGAACTATAGTCTGGGTTATGTTTGACACGGGATTTAAGTAATATTGATATTATATTGATAGTGGGTAAAAAATACGGGTAAAAGATTTTTTTGTCCTTGTGATTGTATTAGTGTAAAAAGTAATGGCAATTGTGTAGTAATAATGAAAAAGTAAGGTTATTTTACAGTGATATGATTATTTATGAAAATGAGACTATTGTTTTGAAATGGACAAAAATGGTAAACATATTGGGACGGAGGGAGTACATTATTTATATTAATAAAATACAAACAAAACTTATGAATTAACAACACATATAGCAGCATCCGGTAATCTTAGTGATAATACATTATTTATATTCATATAATATAAATAAAGCAGATGATATTGTCCCACACAGCTTCATTTCAGCACATACATATACTTGTACAACACACGTGTAATTAGAAATAAACAATTAATAAAAACTTGTGTTATTTTTGTATTTTATGGGTGCACCGTAACCTCCCCCTATGTGTATATTTATATATAAATCAACAGCGTAACCTCCCCATACATATATATATATAATTTTAGATCATTCCCAATGCGACTTATTAGAGTTCTGATTTAAAATTAATAAGTATTGTAGTGACAACACATAAAATATAAACTGTCAGCATTTAGCGCAAATAAATACAACATATGATGTGTCGATTTTTATAGCGTGGTGTCAATTATATTTAAAAAATATGTTGTTTTTATATACTTTATATGCTGATGGTACATTTACTTTTGAATGATTATATTATAACACATAGGATTATTTCAATAGATTATATAATTATGATATTAATTAATATGATATTTACTTTATTTGATTAATACAAAATTACGTAAATTTTATCATATACTTCTTCTGTCTAATTTTTGTTTTAAATCATATTTTAATCCATTATAGTAAATATATAATTAGATTTCATAAAATATATTATTCACACAACTTAAGTTTATTCTAAATGGAGGATTATTGTTATATGTTGTTGGTCGTGTTTAAGTATTTTCGATACATAAATATCTTATCGAAACATCTTCCTAATGTATTTTAAAAATGGTAAAAAATTAAATTGGTATAAATTCTATCAACATTAAACTATCAAACGAAACAACTATCATTTTAATATATTTTAAAAATAGTAAAATTTTAATAAAAATTATTTGGCATATATGAATAATTGTTTAAATATTATTTTGAATGTAACATTAAATTTTAAATAATATAATAAATAAAAAGATATATATCTCTTTTTTATGAAAAACAAAAAAGAAACTCGCTTTATCAAAAGATTTGTTGAGTCCAACCTAGGGGTCAGGTCTTAATTCTCTAAAAGATTTGGATCTTTTTGCCATTAAAACTCGCTTTATTCCCAACTTCGTTGCATGGTTTTGAAAACTGCATTTTTATTCCGTTTGTATGCTTGAGAATTTTGTAGATTTTTATGTATTTTTAATTAAAGATATATATATTTTTATTTATTTCAAATATTTATAAAATTAAATAAAAATAATATAACAATTAAATTTAATTATAATAATTTCGTGCATAACACATATTTAAACGATAGCCTATTCTATAAAGCTCCTTTCCCTTTTTTCTTTTTTATTCAAATAGGTAAATAGAAAAAATAAATCTCTTGATCCTACTTAAGAGATACTCATGTCTCATATTTAATCATATGTTTCATTTTGATCTTTTTCACATTTTGTCACTTAAAAAAAAAAATAAAAAAAATTAAACATTTTAATTATATTTTAAATTTAAAATTTTAAAATTTAAATTAAAGTAATTAGTTATACTAATTTTAATTTATAATTATTTGTATTATATTACAATTAATTTTTTATTATTTACTAATTATTTCACATTTTGTCACTTAAAAATAAAAAAAGTAAAATTAAACATTTTAATTATATTTTAAATTTAAAATTTTAATTAGAGTAATTAGTTATACTAATTTTAATTTATAATTATTTGTATTATATTACAATTAATTTTTTATTATTTACTAATTATATATTTTTCTAAATTCGTATCTACACTTATATTCGGAACTGAAAGAATATATTTTTAAATCGTTGTGGAAATTTTTAAATTATTATTATTATTATTATTTTACAATAAAAATGAATGATTGCTTGGCCTCCAAATAATGATAAAGAAATCAACACACGACAAATTTAATTTTTTATTATTTGGGGTTGTTTTTGGCAATGAGCTGTTAGCTGATTCAATTAGCTAATTAGCTGTTTGTATTAAAATGCTTGGTAAAAAACTGTTTAATAGTCATTAAAGATATTGATATATTATTTTTAAAATATTTAATTTTGTTAATTTTGATTTAAAATTTATGAAAATTTTGGTTATTAATTATTAAAAATTATAAAATATATTTATTTTACATTTTAGATTTGAAAAAAAATATTATTAAAAACAATAATTATTTTTTATTAAAATTGTGTAAAATATAAAATAATACTTTTTTTTATATATAATATATTTATTATGTTAATTATTGTTTATTAATTCTTAATATAAAATTTATATAATAAAAAATATATAAATAAATTTGCCTTATCTATTTAATTTAATTTTAATATATTTATTGAGAAAATTGCAAAAAATATCCACATGTATATCCATTATCACTTTTGTTCTATATTTATTTCGCTCATAGAATATATCTTACATGTTTACAAAAGTCCTTATTTCTATCATTTGGCTGCACGTAGTGTGAACATCACATGCGGCAAAATGACATAAATAACGACTTTTGCAAATATGTGAGATATATTTTACCAACGAGATAAATACAAAACAAAAGTGATAATCCTCATACGTGTGGGATATTTTTTGCAATTTTCTCTCTCTATATATATTTTACAAATAAAATAATTTATATGTAATAATTAATAACTATTATTATTTTAAATTTACAAAATAAAATTATAATTTAATAAATTAAATATATTAAAAATAGATAATAAATATTGAGGTAAAAATATATTTATTGTATGAAATAAATAAATAATTTTTTAGAGTAAATAAAGAATAAACAAAATTAAAGTGAAGAAACTCTTTAAAACACTGGATAAATTAACTCTTTGGGTCCAAAAAAACCTTTTCAAAAAGCTAATTTACCAAACACTTTTTGACTGGTTAAACAGTTAAAAATTATTTAATAAGCTAAAAGCTCTTAAAAAACTCTTTCTCAAACACCCCATTAGACTCTACGTTTACTCGAAAAAAATCTCAAACAAAAAATCTCAATCATACATTTTTTTTAATATAAAATTCAAATAAAAATTTCTCTAACCAAATCAAAAGAAACACACCCAAATACCCCCCATTTTTCTTATTTATTTGAATTAGATAAATTCAAATTGAGAAATAATCATTTTTTTTTTCCTATGTACAGCTAAATAGAAAAATAAAATAAAAATTGAAAAACTCGTATTTATTTGTTATTTCTTTTACTATTTAATTTTTTATGAGTATGGTAATATTTCTTCACATATTCTTATTTCACTGACATCCTCACTTATTCATTGTTTTCTTCTCATCAGTTTATTATTTTATTTTCTATTGCAATATATTGCGTCTCTTTGTGTCTCTTCTCAAGGGTGTGTTTGTTTGGGAGTTTGGATTTTGAGTTGAGATTTGAATACTAAAAATTTTGAATTTGAATAATTGTATAATGTGATATAAATAGATATTGATGCGATATTTTGAATGTAAAATTGATTTTTTAGTATAATATAAAAAATAAAAAATTGGTGTTTGATTTGATATTTTTTGCGAAAAAAAAAGAATGAATAGTGGATTTCCAAACAAACACATAATAATTAATTTTCATTATTTCAGTTCAATTCATATTTTCTACTATTCTATGAGTATTTATTATCATTTTTTTGCAATTTTTATTTTTTTTACCAAATGCACACCCAAGATATTAGGTGTCCAATAATGTTATACTGTTTTGATTTAATTTATTTACTGTATAAATTTTGCATTTTTATATAAAAATGCACGTTTTCATATTGTGTCTACATTCATTTCGTATGTTCCATGTATTATAACAAATTTTATTTTTGGAAAAAAAATATATATATATATATACACTTTAAACATAATTTAAATACACTAAAAATATTCGGGTTCGTGTCTGGATCCGGGTTGAGGCGGATTTTTAGTAAAATTCGTAACCCGCCTCGAACCCGATCGGATTTAAAATTTTAAATTCAAAATCCGCTCCGAAATATATTATTTAGATCCGAACCCGCCCCATTAAAAACGAGTCCGGGCGGGTCCGGGGCTAACCCCCCATTTGACATCCCTAGGCACCTCAACCTTTTTTTTTTTTTATATATATATATAAAAAAAAGGAGATATTTTCTGCCAAGCTTTGGTGTTTGGTTTTTTTCCATGTGTCCCATTTTAATTGGAATATATGACAAATATATATGATATATATTAGATATGTTTATAAATTATTTTATTGATTGATATTAAATATATTTTTATAATTTATAAAATTTTGTATTCTACAAAATGATATTAATATTGAATATGTTTTAGCAATTTAAATTTTAAAATATATAAATACAAATATTATTATATTCTATTTAAACAAATCAATATTAACAAAATAATTTAATTTATTGAATAAAATATAATTATATATTTTACATAATTAAATAATATAAAATTATATTTTTTTTAAAAAAATATTTGATATAAATAAATAATAAATAATATAATTTTTTGTTTACATAAATTTTTAATAAATCAAAATATTGGCTACTAATAATGATAATAATAATTAAAAATTAAATTGAGTCCTTATTGTGAGTATAAAATAAAATATGATATTTTCGCTGATGTGTAGAGAGAGAAAGTGTCGTGATAAAAAATAGTAAAGATATTCAAAAGTGGGCTTCAGGTAGCCTGCCCCTCATGTATCAACAAATCAACGAATGCCACATGTCTTTTTGTATTTTATTATTATTATTAAAGTTTTATTATACAAAATTGCATTTTAGTCCACGTTAAGTAATATAATTGTTGATTAAAACAAATTAAAATACATTAACTATTCTCTTTATTAGACGTGACACAGTTTTGAAATTTCTCTCTGTATTGGTTTATTTCGACGTCC